GTGGTGACGAACTTGTAGAATCGCAGGGCATCCTCGTCCCACTCGACGAAAGCCCACCAGCGCAGGTTGTGGGCCTGCACCACAGTCTGGATGTTGGTGCCGGCCCACGCCCCGAACTCGGGCTTGTCAGCGGGTGGGAGTGGATCGATGGTGTCGACTCCCTTCGCCCTAGCTGCCCGGTTGACCTCTTTGACGTGGGCCGCCTTGGTCAACTGGCTGGCGAAGGAGGTGATGGGGTCGGAGAACACGAGATCGATGCCGGGGAACAAATCGTCCCCGGCCTCGTCCGTGTCTCCTTCATCATCCTGCTCCATCGCCTCGTACGACTCCGCCATGGACGCCGGTGGGCTGGACCAGCATCGGTACCAGGCGGAGAGTGGCTGACCGGAGGCCTCGAGTGTCACGTCCATCTGCCCTTGACGGCGCAGAATGCCGTGGTTCTCGCGTTCGGCCTCCGTCATCAGGTTCCACTCAAACTCATCCACCCCCATGGACTGAGCCGTGGGGCGAGTCGCGTGGGCGGCGGTTGGAGTGAGGGGTTGCGTGGGAGGAACCGGAGCCGGGGCCGCCACCACGTCTGGAGGCGTGGCCGCGGTCGCGGCATTAGCTTCCCGCGCGGGCGCCCGAGTGGTTGCCCTTTTTGGGTTCCCGCTCTGCGTGCGGGGCGGCACGGTGGACTGGGCGGGTCCGTCGCGCTCTCGGGTGCCCGCGGTCGTCGCCGCCGTAGCAGACGCGATCGCGGGTCCTGGAGGTGGCTGGATGTTGGCGGCCCCGGTGGGCAGCTCGGTGTCCACGCGCGGTCGGCTGCGCGTGGATCCGCCCCAGCCTTCATCGTGGCCGTGCGGTACGAAGCGGGGCCCAGAGAACCCAGGACCGCGGCGCGCAGGGAAGGGCTTCAGCTCGTCGTTGAGTCGGCTGACTTCTTTGACGAGCCGATCGCGCTCCGCCTGTAGCGTCTTGATCTGGTTCTCGGCGTCGTCGATGGCGCGGTCGCGCTCGCGTATACGCGCGCGCAGGTCCGCTTCTTTTACGCGCGCATCGCCGAGTTCGCCGGCGAGGGCGGCGTACTGCTGGCGAGCGTCGGCGAGCTCTTTGTAGGCGTCGGCGGCCCGCTCCCAGCCACCACTATCCGGCCCGTACGACGGGGTCGGATAGTTGGGCGGGGGCGGCCCGTAGTTCGACGGTCCGTAGTTGGGTCCGGGGCCAAAGTTGTTGTACCCCTGGCCCTGCTGCTGGTTGGGGTAGTTCGGGCCCGACGGTGGAGGAGAGAAGGGCGGCTGCGGGTAGCCACCGAAGTGGCCCCCGCCGCTGCTCCCTCCCCCTCCAGTCGGCCCGTACCCATCGTCGACGTCCATGCGGCCTCGCTTGGCGTGGGCGACATAGTCGTCCGCCCCCAGCGAGGGTTGTCCGCGTTGCGGCGACATTGCGGTGGTGCAGGTGAGAGGTGAAGCGAGGAGTAGCCGAGAAGGCTGGATGTGCTGAGGGGTGGGAATGGGGTGGATGGATGGGGAAGGAGGGGGATGTTCGGTGGTGATGGGCGCCGTCCGACGATTGGTCGGAAGTTCAACGGTTAAGGTTGGGACTCCGCCGATCGGAGTTGTGCGCCCGTTCCCACGCCATCCCGCCAGATGCGCTGCCCGACTGGGCGCCTACGGACTTCAGTTCTCGCGGCTCAACTATCCCGCTGGGGCCCCAGCTCGCGCCTCTGTACCGCCACGACGAACGTCGGGGCGGGCCGATCGCAAGCTCGGGGTCGATCAGCGGGTGGTTCCTCGGGCAGCCCACCACCTGTACAGGCCGCCGCGGCATACATCGCGGCGGGCACCTGCAGGTTGGTGTCGTGCGGTGTCAACGACGCGGACGACTACCTCGGTTCTGCCGCGGTAGTCGACGCCAATCGTCCACACCCATGAGGGCCAGGTAATCGTCGAGCGCCTTTAGCTCGTCGCAGTGGGCCAGTGGCTCCCATGTGTGCTCGCCAGTGGACCAATGGACCAGGAACTCGATGGACTTCGACGTCCATCGATGTCCGGCTATGTCGTCCACCAGCCATTCCTGTTCGTCAGGGGCCCCGAAATCATAAAATTTCTGGGCCTCCCGTCCCGGGAATATCGCTTCGTCGCTCTCGTGATGCGGCCTCAGCAATGCCGCATGGAATGTCGGGTGGACTCGCCGGCGGACGAGTTCACCTGGCAATTCCAGGGTGTAGCTCGAGGTGTCAGGGTTCGCCCGGAGGACCTTATATGGCCCGATGTATTTCGGCGCGAGCTTGCGCGCCCGGTTCTTCGGGAGCGCAAGGTTCTTCGTCGATAGATACACTAGGTCGCCCACCCTGAACGGAGTCGCCTCGTCCGTCCGGAGGCGATTCGCGTGATGTGTCATCGCCACCCGACTTTGGAGGATAGCGTCGTGGGCCTGCTCCAGGTTCATGCGAGCTCGGTCGGCGAACGCTTGGACACCAGGGAACGGTGATGTACCCTGGTCCCACGCGGCCATGCGAGGCATGTACCCGTAGTTCAGCTCGAATGGGGCGAAACCCGTGGACGCACTGATGCTCGAGTTGATGGCGAACTCCACCATGGGGATATGATCGATCCAATCCCCTTGGTGCGGTTCAACCATGGCTCGCAGTATCTGGGTTACGTTCCTGATTGCTCGCTCGGAGGCGCCGTCGGTCTGAGGGTGGAACGAAGTTGACATGAGCAACTTCGTCCCCAGCAGCCGGTGGACCTCCTTCCAAAACACAGATGTAAATTTTGAATCCCGGTCGGACACTATCGACTCCGGCAGTCCATGGAGTCGTACTACTCCTTGGATGTAGTAGTCGGCTACCATGGTGGCGGAGTCGGTAACTCGGCATGGGATCAAGTGGACCATGCTGGTTAGTCGGCAAATGACTACCAGCATGTAGTTGTATCCGCGAGCGTCGGGGAATGGACCGACGAAGTCCATCCCTACCGATTGCCACGGATACAGAGGCACCGGCATCGTATGCAACAACCCCGCCGGCAACGAGTTGGATGTTTTTGACATCTGGCACGCTCCGCATGAGGTGCAGAACCTCTCTATATCCCGCGTCATCCGCGGCCACCAGAACCATCGTCTCACGTACTCCGCCGTCCGTTGGGCACCAAGGTGACCCAGGGTTCGGTGAGCGTGGTCGATGACGAGTTCCTGGAGGCTGCGCGACTTCAGTCGGCCATCGGGTATGCATAGCACCCGATGGCTGAATCGATTGG